GGGGTGTAAAACTCTAATTTGTTCTACTTTTTTTTTCTTTTTTAATTGCCTTTTATTTATCTCCTCCGTAGAGCAGCTTCAAAATGTTTACAGATTGCATTAATTAAATTATAGTCTACAATTTAATGTGTATTATCTGAAGCTGCTCTAAGGAGGAAATAAATAAAAAGCAATTAAAAAACAAAGTTGAAAAACAAAATATTTATTTAAAGTGACACAAAACTCAGGAGTTAGCCCTAAAAAATACATTTAAGAACCTCAACTGATAACAATGTATCTTATTTGTGTATCACTCGGCTGTAGAACCTGCAATCATCTCTGAATAGGCGCTGACACTGTCCTTCCCTCTGGAGGCTACTTTTGTTCCCCATGGTCCCTGTGTGTGTTGTAAAGTAGTCACCGCTCCAAGCTCGCTCCTGTGATGGACTACAATCCCAATACAAATGAGTAAACTAAACATGAGATTGTAGTCCATCATGGGAGTGAACAAAGTAGCCCCCCTCCAGAAGGAAGGACAGTGTCAGCACCAATTCAGAGATGATTCGAGGACCTACAGCCGAGTGATGCACAAATAAGATACATTGTTGTTACTAGTTAAGGTTTTTGAATGTATTTTTTAACGGCTAACTCCTGCGTTTTGTGTCACTTTAAATTAATTTTTTTTGGTTTTTTTTTTATTGCTTTTTATTTCCTCCGTAGAGCAGCTTCAAAATGTTTACAGATAATACATATGAAATTGTAGACTATAATTTTAATTAGTGCAAACTGTAAACATTTTGAAGCTGCTCTACGGAGGAGATAAATAAAGGGCAATTAAAAAAGAAAAAAAAAGTAGAAGGTCTGAAGTCCCATGTCCGTAGGTTTGGTCAATCTCCGAGTAGTACATTCAGAGATTGACCAAACCTACTAATGTCGATCAATATCCAAATGTACACACAGGGCCGGATTTACTCTCTCTGCTGCCCCAATGCCAGGTACCTCAATGCGCCCCCCTGTATGCAGGCTACATACAAGTGATCTCGGCGACTTCGCCGAGATCACTTGTACAAAACAAGCGGCAACTTCCCCGCTGTATATTTAGCCCTGCTTGCCCAAAGCAGGGCTAAATGTAGTAAACAACAACCCACCCGGCGCCCAGAACTGCATGTCCTGGGCATCGGGAGATAGGAATTCCACACCCCTGCTGCCCCTCTACTCCCTGCTGTCCCAAAGCCGGGCCTCGGTTGGCCTTGTGGGAAATCCGGCCCTGTGTGCAGAGAGAACACCGTATACTACAGAATCGTGAGGATGACTATTGATACAGTGTTTGGTCTAACAAGAGTAAAGCTGTCAGCTAATGCACTAAGGGAAAGGGTTGATGCATTGGTGGACCTTCAATGAAAGCAGAACGTAATTTCCTCATCATTCATAAAACCTTTTACAGACTTATTTGTAAGGTGATGTAAAAGGAAGCAATGTGCATAGCCACCCATAGGAACCAGGTTCCACTTTACTGGAGCAAGGTCGGATATGATCATGTATCCCCATTTTTCAAGTTTTATCTCCCATTTCCAGTTACAGCAATTGTGCCGGGTGTCCTAAATATGGCTGTGCAGTCTAATAGGCACCAGAGTTATACCCAGTGCTCCAAGTAATCAGTGCTCATTGCCAGCCCTGGTCAGACACGCCCCCTTCTTTTCCTATGCAATACAAGTCTATGTGAGGACACTTGTGCTGAGGGGCATGGCTGTTACTCAGCTCTGCCAGCACAAAGCAACGCAGCGCGAGGGCAAGAAGCAGCATTTTCACATCGGTATTTTAAGGCATTTCCAAGCAGAAATCAGTCACTGATAACAATGTGTGGGTACAGGACTATAAAGACCTAATAAAGGATGTGTGACTTTAAGAGAAGATGCGTCTGGTTGTCACAAACATTTCACATCCTTATTGGGTTTTATTGAATAATCTAATTTGTACGATCTTTTTTGGGCATCATTTCCCTTCCCCATTCCCCTTTATTTTTTTAACCATTTGCCATGACCTATGTGCCCTCTTTAAGCCCTCCGACATTATTATGCTAACTTTCTCACTTCTGACTTATCGCTCCCATGAGATGAAAGACATTTATGCCGTGACGACAGCTTCTCGTTTTCGCCGGTAATTGTTTTGGAATGTTCCGGATGGTTCTGAATGTTCCAGGACGGTTCTGAAACCAGCAAAGCTGTTCATGGGAATATTTGGGGATCTATTCAAGTTGTTCCTGGAACCGAGCATCGCTCGTGCTAAACTACCTGTTCATTATTACACAATACAGACATGTTCACTGCGCATTGTCATCATTTGTATCTCCCTTTTTATACATCATGGAATTTGAATGGCTTTCGCAGCTGCAGCTTGGCATTGAGTGGTGCTGCTGAACTCATTGTGATATCCACAAGACAGAAAGGCTGGACATACAGGTGAAACTCGAATAATTAGAATATCGTGCAAAAGTAATTGCAGTAAGTGCTGCAAAAGGGGCCCAAACCAAGTACTGAGTACTTGTATGCATGCTTGTACTTTTCAGAGGTCCGATATTGTTCTATGTACAATCCTTGTTTTATTGATTGCATGTAATAATCTACTTTTTTGAGGTTGTGGATTTGGGGTTCTTGGGGTTTTCATGAGCTGTAAGCATTAATAATCACAATTATGACAAATCACGGCTTGAATTATCTTGCTTTGCATGTAATGAGTCTATCTCATATATTAGTTTCACCTTTTAAGTTGCATTAGTGAAATAAATGAACTTTGCACGATATTCTAATTATTCGAGTTTCACCTGTATGGATGAGGTTTTCTGAATTCTGGATTTCATCAATACATTGCCGTCATGCTGTAGAGCACATATGTCAATTACAAGGCCGGAGGGCCAGAAATGGCCCGCCACAGGATTTTATTAGGCCAGCCAGTCCCGAGCTTTGTACCATGCCAAGCAGGGTTCTTTTTTTTTTTTTCTTGCCTAAGCTCAGGTGGATAAAACTTGGGGCGGCCCTCTGAGCACCCCACACCTCCCTCCTCGACCGCACCTCCCTCCTCGGCTGCAGGTTTCTCCTCGCCCCCACCTCCCTCCTGGGCTGCAGGTTTCTCCTCCCCCCCCCCCGTTTTTTCCACAGGATTTTATTAGGCCAGCCAGTCCCGAGCTTTGTACCATGCCAAGCAGGGTTCTTTTTTTTTTTTTCTTGCCTAAGCTCAGGTGGATAAAACTTGGGGCGGCCCTCTGAGCACCCCACACCTCCCTCCTCGACCGCACCTCCCTCCTCGGCTGCAGGTTTCTCCTCGCCCCCACCTCCCTCCTGGGCTGCAGGTTTCTCCTCGCCCCCACCTCCCTCCTGGGCTGCAGGTTTCTCCTCGTCCCCACCTCCCTCCTGGGCTGCAGGTTTCTCCTCGCCCCCACCTCCCTCCTGGGCTGCAGGTTTCTCCTCGCCCCCATCTCCCTCCTGGGCCGCATGTTTCTCCTCACCCCCATCTCCCTCCTGGGCTGCAGGTTTCTCCTCACCCCCATCTCCCTCCTGGGCCGCAGGTTCCTCCTCACCTCTGGCCTTTGTGGTTTCTGTAAGTCCTGCTGTGTGTATCCGGTACTGACTGTGTGAGAAAACACTACAAGTGTCAGCAGTCCCTGTCCATTTGACTTGTTTTGCCCTCACACACAGCAGTGCGATATAACGTATGGGGACTGCTGACACTTGTAGTGCCCTCGCACGCATAGCATAGAGTGAAATGTGTCTGAACTTCTCTCAGGTACTTACTTACATGTATGCATTCTAACAGAATAGGACAAATACCATCTGATCTCCAGTTAATATCCAGTCCGTATATGGTTGTCCATTGCAAGCCCATGATGAAGGGACCCCGAAACGCATTGACTTCTTCTTTCTGGCATTTGCTGGAATAATATTGTATCTGGACTATTAAGCAGTGGCTTGGCGCTTCTGTTCTTATACTTGCAGGTATTTTCTGCTGTCTGTGTGCCGCTGGGTAGATTCGCCCTCTCAATATGTCCTGTGATCTTTTTCACCAGGATAAACGGTGATGAAAAATAAAAACATTGTCAACAGAAAGCAAAGCAATCTTCCACTGGGGACCCCTGTTCTGATGACAAAGAGGGAATTTCCCATTACTTGGGAGAGATTCCCTTTCACTTCCTGTTGTGTGCCTGGAACAGGAAGTGCAATTTTCCCCAAAAAAGATTTTAACTATTTCTTACTGCTTATAGATCTGACTATACTGCAGGGGTAGGCAAACTTCAGCCCTCCTATAAGGCATTGCAAGACAGGCAAAGGCATGCTTCCCATAGACAGAGGCATGATGGGGCTTGTACTTTCAGCACAGCTCGAGGGCCAGCGTTTACCTACCCCCTGCTATACAGGATATGTGCTATACTAATATATAGCTTGTTGTGGCGCTATTCTTATTATTGCTGTTTGTTTTTTGTCTTAGATCCCAAGGTCCCCAACGTGCAAGTAGTTAGCATGGAGTTGATATGCACTGAGGCTCCGTCACCCATCAAAATGGATTTATCAGGTAAATAAGCGGCAGATCCTGGACTCGGAGGAAAAGAAAATTAATTGCATGCTCATGTGGATTGACATCAGCCAATCAAATAATTTCATTTTGTATCTTAATCTAGAAGGACGAAGGGGGGATTGTGATTGGTTAGTAGGGTGATGAAGTTCTCTCTAATCGTGTATAATATATTAAATGTTTTTGTTTAGATTATTTTTGATCCAGTTTAATGTTGGTCATACATGCAGTAATATTGAGGCAACCTGATTTTAATTGATAAAAATGTTTGGGGGATCAAGGAAACCTGCCAAAAAGTGTCTCCATTATTTCCCAATTTCAATAGAAACTCTTCTTGGTAGGTCACCTTGAGCCCTCCGGCTGTTACATTGAAAAGCTGGATGTTTCCTGAAATTTTTGGATGGGCCTCACTTGATTCAGTTTCATGCTGCCCATACTTGCAGAAATATTGAGGCAACTATATTTGAGTTGCAAAAATGTTTGAAGGATCAAGATGCCCAGCCAAAAGCAAGTCTCTGTTACTTTGCAATTTCCATACAAACTCTTCGTGGTAGGTCACCTTGATCCATCCAGCTGTTGGGGGATCAAAGCGACCTGCCAAAAAGTGTCTCCATTCTTTTTTCAGTTTTGATACAAACTATTCTTGGTAGGTCACATTGATCCATACAGAGGTTGCATTGGAAAGCTGGTTGTTTCCTGAAATTTTTGGATGGGCCACACTTGATCCAGTTCAATACTAGTCATACTTGAAGAAATATTGAGGCAACCAGATTTTAATTGCAAAAAATATCCTGCTAAAAACCAGCTCCGTTATTTCACAATTTCCATAGAAACTCTTCTTGGTAAATCACCTTGATCCATCCAGAGGTTGCATTGCAAAGCGGGATGTTTCCTGAAATTTTTGGATGGGCCATACTTGGGTTTCTGTTTTTTGTTTTTTTTATTAAACTATAATTTGGTTTAAAAAAATAAAATAATGGCGGGAATAAAAGTTAATTGAATGCCTGGGGACGGCAGGCAGAGCAGCATGTTTGCTGTGTGCCTGCCACCCCCTTTCCTGCTAGAGCATGCCAGATTGCTAAGAGTTGGGTGGGGAGATGTGTAAAGGTCATACACATCTCCCCATCTAGCTCTTAGTAACCTGGGATGCTCTGGCTGTTGTCCCAGCCACAGCTAAACTTAACAGACCCCTGATATTTCCCTTTTAAAATAAAAAGAGATTAAGGACACAGAGTCGTCAATCTTTTTTTCTGCAGCCCCAGCCCTCAATGAACAGGAAGCTCTCAGTAGAGGCTTCCTGTTCATCCATGAATGGAGGAGATGGTAAACAGATACTGTGTCCACAATCCATGAATGAACAGGAAGTGATGTATAGCACTTCCTGTTCATCCATAATTGGGGACACGATATCTGAACCCTATGTCCTCAGTTATTTACAAAAATCGTAGTGATCAGTACAGATCGCTGCAATGGTTGAATATTACAGGGAAAGATCATCAGTTCTCCTCCCCGTACCTGACCTGGCACTGTCACTGCTCTCTCCTCCCCATTGGCAGGTGGATCAACTATGTGTCCCCTCCGATCCCTGCTGCCTCTTGCGATGCAGGCAGGGGAGAGCAGCCGTTATCGGAGGGGACACAGACCGCAGCATGCAACAGGCTCCCAGTTGCAGGAGCAGAGCAGATGCGGACACCAGCTGAAGGGGTCTGTGTTCCCTCTGATCCCCGCTGGGTCCAGCAGGGATCGGAGGGGACACAGAACTGATGAAACACCAGCACGGAGGAGAGAAGCAGGGGATCCAGACCAACTAATCGATAATTGACAACGATTCTCATTATTGATTGAATTGATTTAGTTGTTTAAGCCCTAATTGGAATGCAAAGGTTATAAAGTGCAGGACTTTGGTTTGTACACTTCTGGTGGACCACAGACCAATGTATATTGTCCTGCATTAACCCAGAAGTAACACCGGTAAAAGTTTTTGGAGTGTAAGACTCTCTCAGAACCGTGAATTAAGAACGTACAAGTGCTAACAGGCTAAATACCATTTGCTGTCACATTTTGCTAAATTACAGTTCCATGTACCTCATCCATCACAGAAGTTGGCTCGGCCCCCATTTTGAAAAAAAGAAGGTGCTCTGTTGCCCTCTGTTGGTGTGATTTAATTATTACATTCTTAAAAACACGATCCAAGAAAAGCGTATCTAAACCCAAACATAAAAATATAATCTATAGCAGCTTACCAGTCCTTAGATGGTGCGTCCTTTTTCTTTTTTCACGGTTTGTTCCCTTAATTTTGTCCTGGCGAATGTTCAAAACAACATACTTCCTATTCCTTCATGTCTACCCAATTTTTTGGAGGCAGCCTTGGTTGTCACAGAGGCGGAACTTTTAAATATCTAATGATGGATAAGCTGCAATATATTACCTTTTTGGGGTTAAAGGCCTACCCCGCCCCCACCCCATCTATTCAAACTATGTTATTCTTATTTACTTGAAAAATCCTTTTTATTAGTTTCTTCATCAAAGAGGCTGAAGGTCTTCTCACAGCGCAGAGTACCGGCGACAGTTTCTGTAGACGCTCTGCTCCTTTTAAGGCAAAGGCAATCATAAGGTCTGGGGGTGGAGCTGGGAATGTCTGCCACTGACTGAAGAGAAGGGTTCCCATTGGTGACGGTATTGGAATCCCGCCTCCTCGGTGTACATAACCACACGGGCCTGAAGCCGTAATTGCTACAGTGGCTGGACAGTATGACAACACTGGAGGGAATTCACTGCATGTCATTAAGTGTTGTCAGCCCATGGAAGGAAGTACTATTCATTAGGAGCACCAGGTTTTTAGTAGATAAAGAATAAAGATATAGGAAGCGTGCCGTCTCATTTTATGTACAATAATGTTGATTTTTACATTGTGCTCATAGTTCTGATTTGGAAACTTATTATTTTCTAAATGTATCTTATACATTTATATACTGCAGGCAAATGCCAAAGCACAAATACATAAAACGGTTCACATCAATCCCTGTACCCAAAGAGCTTACAATCTAGGATCCCCAGACACGCACATAGTTTTAGTTCATTTGGGTGGAAGCTGAAGAACGTACCAGTATGTCTGATGGTTGTGTGATGGAGACCGCAATATACCATCTGCAAGTCCATAGGGTTCCTGGTGGAAGTTAAACCCAAGATCCCACTGCTCCAAGGTCACAGTACTGGCCCCAGTGTGTGTGTTTAACACCTATAATTTATTATGTTACTGTATATGTTGCCTGAAAAGATGATGTTCTGTATTTGCAGGCAGTGTAGGGACATTGAAAGATCACAGCTATGTACTGAAGGAAGGTTCGAGTTACAAGGTTAAAATCACATTTAAGGTAAGGTTAAAAAGAGAACCACAAAATATGAAATTGTGGTTTGAATACGCTGATACATTTGTTTGTGGTGGGGGTACTTCGGTTGTGATGTGTGTGAGGTATGAGGATTCTGCTCATTAGAGCTTACTATCTACTGGGAAGCAAGAGATGTGAAGGACCTGCTTTTTATGGCTTACTCTCTAATAGAGTACAGGAGGTATGAGGTTCCTGCGCATTAGGGCTTATTATCTAATAGTGAACAGGAAGTATGAGGATCCTTATCATTAGAGCTTACCATCTGATAGTGAACAGGAAGTATGAGGGTCCTTCTCGTCAGAGCTTACCATCTGATAGTGAGCAGGAAGTATGAGGGTCCTTCTCGTTAGAGCTTACCATCTGATAGTGAGCAGGAAGTATGAGGGTCCTTCTCGTCAGAGCTTACCATCTGATAGTGAGCAGGAAGTATAAGGGTCCTTCTCATCAAAGCTTACCATCTGATAATGAGCAGGAAGTATGAGGGTCCTTCTCGTCAGAGCTTACCATCTGATAGTGAGCAGGAAGTATGAGGGTCCTTCTCGTCAGAGCTTACCATCTGATAGTGAGCAGGAAGTATGAGGGTCCTTCTCGTCAGAGCTTACCATCTGATAGTGAGCAGGAAGTATGAGGGTCCTTCTCGTCAGAGTTTACCATCTGATAGTGAGCAGGAAGTATAAGGGTCCTTCTCATCAGAGCTTACCATCTGATAGTGAACAGGAAGTATGATGGTCCTTCTCGTTAGAGCTTACCATGTGATAGTGAACAGGAAGTATGAGGGTCCTTCTCGTTAGCGCTTACTATTTAATAGTGAACAGGAAGTATGAGGGTCCTTCTCATTAAAGCTTACCATCTGATAAGGAACATAATATATAAGGACACCGTTCATTAGAGCTTTCTATCTAATACGGGGCAGGAGGTAGGATGGCCCTGCTCATTGGAGCTCACTATCTAGTATGAAAAAGGAAGCATGAAGATCCTGCTCATTAGAGCTTATTATCTATTAGGGAAGAGGTGGTAGGAGAACCCTGCTCATTTGGGCTGTCTAATAGAGTACAGGAGTTATAAGGGTCCTGCTCACTAGAGTTTACTATTTCATAGTGAACAGCAGGAATGAAAGTTCTGCTCATCAGAGCTTACTATCTGATAGGGAACAGGAGGTCCCTGCTCATTAGAGCTCACTATTTAGAATGGAAGAGGAAGATTGAGGGTCCTGCTTATTAGAGCTTATTGTCTAATAAGGATCAGGAGGTAGGCGGGCCCTGCCTATTAGAGAAGAAGACTTATAAGGACCCAGTTCATTAGAGCTGTCTATTAGAGAACAGGAGGTATGAGGGTTCTGAGGGTAAATAAAGCGTATTATCTAATATGGGACAAAAGGTCCCATAGCTTTAGTTCATAAGAGCTTATTATGCAATAGGGAACATAAGATATAAGGACCCTGCTCATTAGAGCTTACGATCTAATAGGGAACAGGAGGTAGGAGGGCCCTGCTCATTAGATCTCACTTATCTATTAGTGAAGAAGTTGTATAAGGACCCTGCTCATTAGAGCTTACGATGTAATAGAGAAGAGGAAGTAGGAGGCCCCTGCTCATTAGGCCTGTCTAATAGAGTACAAGATCTATCTAATTGAGAGCAGATGATGGGAATTTCCTACTTATTACAGCTTCCTGTGTAATCGGGAACATAATGTACAAGGTCAGTGCTTATAAACTCATTTTCAGTTGCTGACCTTTTACTTTTGAAGATTCTACATGCCTGGCTGTGATGCTGATGTGTTGACTCAAAGTAGTTAATGCTTTAAGTCCATGACCCAGACCTATAGAGATGCTTAATTCTGAATGTATCTGACTTGTTTGCTGAAAGCCTCTTCCAGGCCAATGAGTCCGTACTGTAGACAGAGTTGGCCAGGCAGCTATTTCTTCATTAGGAGGCCAGCAGTGGCACCCTCCAAATTTCTCTTATGAAAGGTGTACCCGATGATGTTTAGGGGAGCAGATGTCACCAAAGTATCCTGGAGAGTAAGTGATTCCATACAGCTAGTTGGTGATCCATAGGACCAGTAAACCCAGAGGAGTGTATGAACTGGGGGATGATGGATGGAACGGGGTGCACACTGTATGAGAAGGGGGATGATGGATGGAACGGGGTGCACACTGTATGAGAATGGGGCTGATGGATGGAACGGGGTGCACACTGTATGAGAAGGGGGATGATGGATGGAATGGGGTGCACACTGTATGAGAAGGGGGATGATGGATGGAATGGGGTGCACACTGTGGAGAGATTGAAGTATTCGGTATTAGCGGGCAGTCTGTGATTGTGTCCCCGGACCTTCTAGTCCTGATGTGTAGTCTTCTTGTCTACTGACTGTTATTTTATTTCTCTTCTAGGTGAACAAGGAAATAGTATCCGGGCTGAGATATGTACAACATACATTCAAGGCAGGAATTAAAAGTAAGGTTTTTCAAATAAAAATAACATTTATTAAATGAAATGGGTAGTAAACCTTAAAATGTTACTTTTTACCTTTCTGTATTTCATATGCACTCTACATTTTGTCTTTCTAACCCTCTCTGTTTGTCCTGGTGACCATTGTAACCAAGACAGAGAGTCATGGTGTCATGGTCCTTGGAATACTGAACCATGTCTCCTTGACTATATTACACAGTGGTGGGTCCTCCACCCTGTCTTAGGGTTGAATCACTCTGTGTTTGTTTCACAGTTCACAGTTTGTCTTAAGGATAATCAATTTCCCAGAACCAAGACCCATGTACTTGCATTTTTAGGGACAGCAGGGTACTACAGGAAGTTTGTACCCCACTATAGTGACATAGCCAAACCCCTGACAGACCTGACCAAAAAGACTCTTCCTAGACAATGATCCCTGTTGGAACTTACATACAGCCTGCCTGGTGTTTGTTCTGAGCTGGATTCGAACGGCACATAGCTGTAGTTCCAATCCCGGATTATCGGACGATCGAAGGATCAGACGTTGCGGTCTGACATCTGATCCATTAGTAGCAGAGGAGTGCCGGGAGAGTGGAACCGAGCGAGCAGGGGCTCGTTACACATGGAAATTCCAAATTCTTCCTTACATATCATTGGATGATTAATATCCGCACAGCTTTGCCTCATTCACTAAACTAAGTGAACCTAAGTGAAAATTAACTTAGTTCAGTGAATGAGGTGATGTTGCGATGACTTTGATCATCCAATCGTGTGCAAGCAAGAATCCTGTTGTTTTTCTAATTATACTTGCATGTGATTGGACATTTTGCCAAGTGAATTTTTACAATGCTCATTAAACCCGAACTTTATTCTGCTTATATTTTACCTTCCCTGGTTTCTCCCTCTCATCTTATGAACATGCTAATGGAATTAAAAAAAAAAAACCTTTTCATTACTCATTTTATTTTAGGCCCAGTGATGTCATCATTGGGTCTCTTTGCTTCTGTAAGCAATGCAGGCTTGTCATAGCTGGGGGGGGGAAGTGCCGGCAGGTTGCTGTACATGCTTCCCAAAAATATCACAGCACCTTGCCTCAGTACATCTCACAAGAGCTCTCAGGCCTAATGCAAGCAATGGGCTGGCTCTTGGGTGGAGTTATGCAAATATCAGAATGGGTGGTGTCAATATTATAATATAGTAATATAATGTATAATATACACTGAGTGGCCAGATTATTATGACCACCCCATCAGTACTTCGTTGGGCCGCCTCGTGACTCCACGAGATGATGATAGGTGATGCGAGGGATCTGACACGGCACTGTTGCCCTTCTGTTGTCTTGTACCAGTCTTGCCCCTCCCCCGTTCTGCCCTAACATTGACTAGTCGCTGACGGCCACAATTCACACGTTCAGACCCAGATTTTCGGCTGACAGTCCAGTCTTTAAACACTTTAACAACAGCTGCTCCTGAACATTTAACGAATTCTGCTGTTTTGCTGATACTCGCTCCATGGCTCCGAGCGCCAACAATCATCCCACCTTCAAAGGCTGTTAAATCGCGTTGTTTCCCCGTATCTTCCGAAACGAATCACTTCTACTGTCGTGGTAAACAACCTGCTTCACTATTTATAATGGTCTGGCCCTCTAGCAACTTCACGTGAAATTATAGCTAATTTGCCTACAAACGTCAGGTGGTCATAATAATCTGGCCACTCAGTGTATAATATTATTATATATACATACATACACTGTGTGTGTATATTTCCTTTACAACATAGGCCAGAGTTCTATAAAAACTAACTTCTTTTCTTATTTTGACAGTTGACAAGGAGACGCACATGGTCGGCAGTTACGGACCTCGGGCCGACGAAGCGTACGAATTCCTAACGCCAGCCGAGGAGGCTCCGAAGGGAATGCTTGCCCGCGGGTCGTACACCATCAAGTCCTGGTTTACAGATGACGACAAAACCGAGCACTTGTTCTGGGAGTGGAAATTGTGTATAAAAAAAGAATGGAAGGACTAGATCGGGGGTAACACCCAAAAAAACCACCACAACTCCACATTGTTATCTTAATTAGGGGAATATAATGATTCTGCATATTAAAATTGTACAAGATTTATTATGGTTTCTACATCTGTTTTCTAATTGTTTTCTTGTAGTTTCTAAGGGGAAAAAAACAAACAATATACAAACATGTAAAGACATTATTTAATAAAGAGAAATCTTAAAAAATAACTTCTTATTTGGCGCCGTAAAGAACAGATTCAGCTCATCTGAACCTGGAGGTTTCATCTCTCATTCAAATGGGTTTACCCCGCGCAATATGACTGGACATAAAGGGTAGCTCCACACACAACCTAGATTTTAGTTTTGGCTCAGTGTTCATTTCACTTTTTGTTTGGCTTGAGCAGGAAAGAGTAAGAGTGGGAAAGAGTGGGCAATACAGACTAACCTCTGTTGAGTCTGTATTGCCCACCATTGAGCGTAGTGTGTGTGCCCATTAAACATAGTGAGGGGCATTTATCAAAACTGGAGCAGACAAAATCTGGAGCAGTTGTGCATCACAACCAATCAGCATCTCTCTTCCGTTTGTTCAGTTAAGATGGGAAAATTAGAGAGAGGCGCTGATTGGTTGCCATCCACAGCTGCTCCAGGTTTTGTCTGCTTCAGTTTTGATAATTTCCCCTTCAGTGTGTCCCCACTAATTTAGTGTCCCCATAGAGCATAGTGTGTCCTTATTTGTAGTGTCCCCATTGAGTGTAGTGAGTCACCATTGTAGTGCCCCCATTTCCTGTAGTGTGTCCCCATTTGTAGTGTCTCCATTGATAGTAGTGAGTCACCATTGTAGTGTCCCCACTGAGCATAGTGTCTCCCCATTGTAGTGTCCCCACTGAGAATAGTGTCTCCCCATTGTAGTGTCCCCACTGATCATAGTGTCTACCCATTGTAGTGTCCCCACTGAGCATAGTGTCTACCCATTGTAGTGTCCCCGTTGAGCATAGTGTGTCCCGATTGTTGTGTCCCCAATGAGCATAGTGTCTCCCTATCGTAGTGTGCCCCCATTGTATTGCCCCCATTGAGCATTTCCCTCCCTTCTGGTGACAACATGTGGGCAACAGAGCAGTCAATGTCTGGAGGTTTAGAGGATATTTCACCTCCTGCCAGCAGATGAATTCATTGCACTACCTGCTAGTCCCTGGAAGGTGATGGCATTCCAACTACAGGGCGTTGGACCATTGGAAGTGCAGTATGGGACTAGCATGGTGCATTCTTGGACCGGTATGTACTGAGACCATTCATTTCAACAACAAGATCATATGTACATTTAAAGTAATGATATGCATGTTACTTACCTGTAAACGCTTCCCTTGTGTAGATGTCCAAAACCCCTGAGACGGCTACCGAGTGCCTCCATCTTGGATGTATACATCAGAAATGTATATCCATCTTGGATGTGACAGCAGCAGACTCAGAGCTGACACTCTCTAGACCAGGGGGAGCCAAACGTCAGCCATCCAGCTGTGGTGAAAAACTACAAATCCCAACATGCATCTGCCTCAGAAAGTCATGCCTGTGGCTGTCAGAGTGTTGTAATGCCTTATGGGACTTGCAGTTCAACATCAGCTGGAGAGCTGAAGTTTGGATACCCTTGCTCTATAGTATTCACCCCCTAGAATCTAACTAGAAGGGAGGGGAAGCTGGGCCAGCATAGATAGTAATTAGACACTCCCAGAAGAAGAGGGGGCTGTGACATGCAAGGAGGAAGGGGGCTGTGCTAGGGAATTGACCCTTCCTAGAGTAGTCAAAATTTCTAGCAAGTGACCAGGGGTAGGCAAACTTTAGCCCTCCCATTGTGCTTCTTTAAGTCCTGCCTGTGGCTGTCAGGGTCTTCCAATCCCTTGTGGTACTTACCTACCTCTGCTATAAGCCATCGTCTGATGTCAATGATCTCCCCCACTGCTCACTAACCGGCCCCCCACTTTCCCCCGGGCTGCATAGCAGCTGCAGTTCTGACTTTGCATTCAGTAATCATGCTGAGTAGCACTTTGTTCCCCTTCCTAACATTAATGGCTCAGTGGCTTATTATGAATAATTTGGCAGAGAAAAGAGTTTAATGGCTCTTTGTAGTTTTAGAGTTATCGATTGCACCTAAGTACCTAGAGAAGGGGGTATTGATTTTTAGCTCTCTCCGGGCTGCCTAAACCATGGAGGACTTGAACTTAAAGAGACCCAACAATGGGTTGGCTGATGAAAGCATTGCGCCAATCATTCTTAGAGCTCCATACTTGGAATTAAAATCGACGTTAAAAAAAAAGTGTATGTGTGTATATATATGTTGGAAGGCTAATGTGTTTTGTGGGAGGAGTCTGCGCCTCCTTACCTCTCTTAAGCAGCTGGGACGGGAGGTCTGCTTGGGACGGAACGGGAGGTCTTCCGAACAACCCTCCCACCCAGTGGCGGACCTAAGGAACAAAGGGCCCTGGTGCAAGATTTTTTTTGGGCCCCCCCAAAAAAAAACCACAAACACAGCGCTCCCCTCCCACAGCACTCAGCCGGATGTCACTTTCTCTTCTCCCCGCTGGGACACAGAGCAGCGCCCAGCGGGGAGGAAAGAAAGCACGGATGCGCTGCTGTATCAGCAGGAAAATTGCACTTTCGGCATTTAGCCAAAAGTGCCATTTCCGGTCGATATCTTTTGGCGGCCGATATATCGGTGCATCCCTAATATTTACAGCAATGCAGAATGGCACAGGCTATAGAGGACTACAACTCCCAGCAATACTTTATACAACTATAGCATTTCTGTATAAAGTACTGCTGAGATTTGTAGTCCTCTATAGGGGGTCCCATTGTGCATTGCTGCAACAGTACTTTATACAACATTAGGCTGCAAATAATTATTTTAATGAATTATTTACCCCCCCTTGCCTCTTCTGGCCGGTCTTCTGTCTTCATCTGTTTCCTATGTGTTTTCTGTTTGCTGGGTCCTCACTGCCGTCCGAGGCCCCATGATGTGCCTGCAGGGCTGTCTTCAGTGCCTCCTTGTTCTGCGGCTCCCTCCTCACAG